AGCGAGGCAGGGGCTTTAATGCCTGAGGTATAGGAAGTTCCTGGATGCTTTTAGGGAAATGGGAGGGTGGGAGAGTCTGAAGGATGGTTTGCATAGCTTGCAGGTATAAAGATGCAGGCATGTTCCCCACCAGGCTATTGAACTTGTCCTCTCCTAGCAGAATTGCCCAGTACTCTGGGTGCTCCTGCAGCACCTTCCTCATCTTGAACCGGGGGCTGGGCATGAAGAGCAAGAGGTAATCGAGGCAGAGCTTTTTGGACGCCACGTTGACTTTCGAGTCCCACATCTGCTCCAAGATGACGTCCAGCGGTGTCAGTCCTTTGCTGTCCTCTATCCTGGGAGAGGCCCCGTTCCCCAGGAGGATCAGAACTGTCTCTGACCTCAGGAGCTCGCAGGCGAGATGCAGAGGGGTCTTCCCATCTTCCAGGTGGAAGCAGCCGGTTCGGTTGATGTAGGAGTTCAGGCTGGGCAGCTTGTGGGAGATGCTGATGATCAGCCCCAGAATGTCTCTCCTGTCGTAGGTGACAGCCATGGCCAAGTGAGGAGCAGAGGAAGGGCAATAGCAGAAATGTTCCCCGGGGACTTTGAGAGCCTCCTCCGGAAAATGAGACAGCAGGTACTGGGCATAAGGCAGGTGGTTGTGCACCACGGCGTAGAGCAGGGCTTCGGAAGGGGAATATGTCCTCAGGCTGGCATTTTCTTCCCAGTAGAAATACTCCATAGTCCTCATGTCTTCCAGCATCCAGACAGGTTTGTGATCTCTGACAGCTTGGTAAAACATATAGGATAAGAACTTGCAATGCCTGCTCTGGTCATCCTGTAAGCTGGCCTGGTTACTGGCCATGTCTCAGAAGTCCCAATGGTGAACAAGTCCTTTTGTGCCAAAAAGGAAAGGAGGGGGGGTTCCACTTGCAAGCGAAGGCTGATGTTCAGTTTGAATGCAGATTCCAGAGGCTGCTACAACCTTCAGACTGTCATTGCAGCAGCCCGGACTGCACTAGCCGGAATGCATAGCTCTTTCTCTGACGGGCTGTTCATCTCCACCCATTCATTGTTTTCCCTTTCTCACTGCGGCTGGTTTTGTTGAGGTAAGCAGAATCTCGCCAGCTCAGTTAACCATTGCCATGCAAGCACGCAGTAAATGCAGTCGGTTCTCTGTTCGGCGCAGGTTAATGGAATACAGATAGCTGTGATTTAACAGCCGAAGAGAGAGCTATTTGCAGGGGACTATAATTAGCTTTGCAAAAGGAGCAATTTTCTGCCTGCAGTCAGGGCCCAATCAAAGCTACAATAACTATTGCAACAGAGTGTGTGTGCCTCCTGATGTTTATGTGCTCCTAGAACTGTAGGGGCATGTGTGTGTGATGTCACTTATACGCATTCTCCATACAGATGCAGTCCCTCAATGGATTAATCTAGTATAGTTATTTTATATTTTAAAAAGTATATACCATATTAATGAAAATTATCATTGTGGGTTACAACAGTTATGCATAAAACCATGCGACAAAAAACAAAAATATTAAAATCAGAACTCAGCTATTATGGAAATGTGTATTCTTAATTGCCTGCATAAACCTGACAGAATAGAAAAGTTTTCAGCAGGCATTTAAAAATTAAAACAGAATGCGCCTGCTAAATCTTTAATGAAAGAGTAATCCACAAAACTGGGCTGACAAAACGAAAGGCTCAGTTTCTTGCTGCTGTCAAATGAACCTCGCCAGTTTGGAGGACGACCAACAACACTCCTGCAGATGATCTCAGGGATACAGCTGGGATATAAGGCTTCAGGTGGTTCCTAAGACAGTTTGGACCTAAGTTGTTCAGGGCTTTGTAAATTAATACAAGAACCTTGAATCTGACTTGCTAGTAGATTGGCAGATTGTATGCAGGCTGAGACCCTACTTATTCACAGACTGTCTCGTCAGAGTGGTGCATGCTCTAGTTATCTCTCACTTGGACTACTGCAGCATGCTCTATTTGGGGCTACCTTTGAAGGTGACCTGGAAACTACAACTAATCCAATATGCAGCAGCTAGACTGGTGACTGGGAGCGGCCACCAAGACCACATAACACTGGTCTTGAAAGACCTACATTGGCTCCTAGTACGTTTCTGAGCACAATTCAAGTGTTGGTGCTGACCTTTAAAGTCCTAAAAGGCCTTGGCCCAGTATACCTGAAGGAGGGTCTCCACCCCCATCGTTCTGCCCGGACACTGAGGTCCAGCGGCGAGGGCCTTCTGGCAGCTCCCTCCCTGCAAGAAGTGAGGTTACAGGGAACCAGGCAGAGGCACTGGCAGAGGAAGAGGAGTGCAGGAGGAGCGCACCGCCTCCAGCAGCGCGATCCCAGTGGGGTGCCATCGCAGCTAACCCCCCTTGCCCGCACTGTGCGCCACACCCCCAGGATGCACGCCATGCCCCTGTGGGTGGCATGCCACGCCCCCCAGGACACACACCAGCCCTGCCCCCGCCTGCTCTCTGACAACCGTGCCGGAGCATGAAGCTTTGTCACTGGGCAGAGAGGGCCTTCTTGGTAGTGGTGCCCACCCTGTGGAACGCCCTCCTATCAGATGTCAAAGAAATAAACAACTATCTGACATTTAGAAGATATCTGAAGGTAGCCCTGTTTAGGGAAATTTTTAATGAATGATGTTTTAATGCATTTTTAATATTTTGTTGGAAGCCGCCCAGAGTGGCTGGGGAAGCCTAGCCAGATGGGAGGGCATAAATTATTTTATTATTAATTATTATTATTATTACTAGATTTTGAAAAAATGGTGGCACAAGTTGTCAGCCCGGGGCTCACATCATATGGAAACTTACATCTTACTTTTATTTATCTAACAAATTTATATACTACTTGGTTTTAGTAAAACTTCTAATGGATTACAAGAAATATTAAAATTATCAATACAAACAGCTTTAAAATATTAAAATTAACAGTAAAAGAGATTAAAACATGTTAATCTGTCTGGATGGGGAGTTCTATCGGGACTGGAAGAAAAGCATCCCTACAAAGGAGCCAGGTAATGCAGATGCAGGGCCTCTAATATCAACAGAGATCCAAGTGGCTAACCCACCCATAAGAAGAGTTTGGATTTGACATCCCGCTTTATCACTACGCGAAGGAGTCTCAAAGCGGCTTTCCCTTCCTCCCCCACAACAAACACTCTGTGAACTGAGTGGGGCTGAGAGACTTCAGAGAAGTGTGACTAGCCCAAGGTCACCCAGCAGCTGCAGGTGGAGGAGCGGAGACGCAAACCTGGTTCCCCAGATTACGAGTCCACCGCTCTTAACCACTACACCACACTGGTTCTCTCATAACTCATGCATAATGATGTTTCTTGGTAGCTGGATATGAAAAGGGTCTAAAACCAGAATTGTTTAAAACACACTCCAACTGGTGGGCTCCTGTACTTGCTAAATTATTTGCTGAGATCAATCCAATTGGCTTAATTCTAACTCTCTGTAGTTTATCCTATTTTTGAAAAAGAGCAGCCCCTCTCTTCCCCAGAATTACAGACCTGTTGGATATCCTTCCAAAATATATGCCACTTGTTTTTACTTAATAAGCTGCAGGACTGGATCTCCTCCAGTTGTGTTCTATGCAGAAAGAAAGCCAGTTCCAGGAATTCTTATTGCACCATTGATCCTTTGTTATACTTTTGTCCCACCTCATTGAGAAATTTGTTGAAAACAATGCAAGGTTCTTTGCGGTGTTTGTTGACCTATCATCAGCTTTTGATTCAATAGATAGAAACCATCTGTGGGCCAAATTGCAACCCCTTGATATAGACCCTAAAGCTGCTGATGCTTCTTCAAAGTCTTTATCAAGATGCTCCTATTAAAATCAGAGTAGGCAGGAATGGTCTTTTAACTACCCCAATCCAAACTATGAAGGAAGTCAAACACTTTATGTTAACCATCTGGCTAAATTGCTTGGGGAATTATATGTCTGTTTTATGGACATTTGGATCCCAGTTCAGCAGTTCCTCCCATGCGCACATGGAGCTTTCACAAGGACTTCCCCATGCCCTTCAGTGGAGAGGACACGGCTTTGTTCACAGCGTTACCCACTGCATTGAAGGTAGTAGGAAATCCTGCTAGTGGAGCCCCAAATACACATTGAAGTGAAGATGTACCTGTGGAGCTGTCACTACATTTGTAACCAAGTACACAGCTTTTTGTGATTACACTCTTCAGCCCTGTTTGATTTCCCTGGGATTTGTCCATTAGATTAATGGCTTTAACCAAAATGGAATTTCTTTGTCACATAGTATTTTATGTATGTTGGTTGTGGGAAATTTTTTATACCTTTTTATCATGATTAAAAATGTTACTGAAATGATTAAAAAAAAACCACTTGCCACAAGAAATGTAGATGTCACTGTCCTCCTATATGGAGATGATATATCTTCTCTGACCAGAGGTGGTTTAAAAAAGTCCCAACCAGGGATTATAGCTGTTGAAGACTGGCAACATCTGGAGGGCCATATTCCCCACCCCTGTCCTAGATCAAATGGGTTTTCACAACTTTCTACCTTCATTGAAACCTTTCTTCAGCAACTGGGTTCTCATCATGTGAATTGGTGATTGCACTATAGAAAATAGCAACTTTGCCATTGCTGAGAATTACAGGGAAAGATCAGCCAAGGTGGGCAAGCTATCTTTTAGAAAAGTATATCCACAAATAGAAATCGTCTCCTTGAAGGACATCAGAGTACCTAGAACATAGACGGAGAAATGTGGCCCTGGCCTACCAAAAATATGTATTAAGAAAATTGCACTCTTTGTGTTATATCCTTATTTATCCCCTCTGAAAGCCAAGAAGCAGCAATCTACAATAACCAACTTGCTGAGCAAATGAGTAGCACTTCTTTTGTGAGTGACGAGGACAAATTGCAGTGATTAGCTGTGGAATCAAAATTTAATATATTAAGGGAGCTTGTGAGCCTGCTTTCTTTGAGCAGAGTGGTTTCTTGTTTTATCTCTTTGTTTTTGACAGTTAGCTGTTCAATTGTGCATGGGGCTGGACCAAGCCTTTTTGCCACAGTAGGCAAAATGCCCAGCCCAGCCCACAAATCTGGGCCTTCTCCCCGCTGCCAGCCCCATCACAACTGCATCCTTCTTTATATCTAATTTGTTTTAACTGAAAAGGCACCATACATTAATTTCCTGGCCTTTACAACTAGTTTTCTAATTGACTTTTAAAGGTACTCCAAATATGAAAGTGATCCCCCAGTCACTTTGGGTAGAGCCTAGTTGATGCCATTGTGCTCACAGAAGGGCTTTTGAGTCAACTTCTGATCTACTAAGAGAACAGGAGGGCATACAATTGCATGCTATTTTTCACCCTGCTCTGGCAAGTCTCCCAAATGAAGTCCTTAGAACACTTTGATCCACTTTAAGGGTGGGAAGACTTTCACTTGTGCAACAGGACTTCCCCTCCTCCCCTCCCCCCACAAGTGGTTCGGGAGGGGGAGTTGGGGGAACCCTCAGCACACTGCATAGGGTGGAAAGATGAAATATTGTTCTGCCTGACAAGCAGAAACGTTTGCACCACTGGAACAATCAGAAGATTGAAATACTGAATTCCTCCCGTTAAGCGCAAAACATAAATTCCTACTTTACTATGAATGTCTGGAAGAAACTCTAGTCTTTCCTTAAAATCACTTAAAAGTATTCATCACTTCTGCATCTTTTAGCAGAAAGGTCTGCATATCAATTGTACTCAGTCTGGGAACTAGTTTTCAGTTTTGACTTTTAAGACAATTTAGAATACAAAATTACACCACCAGCATCGCCAAAATTATCTACCTAATTAGCAGTGCCTGCCATTCATTTGCTTCTGTCCTCACTTTTTACACCTCCCCCTCCCAAACCATCTGTATACATACCTGTAACTCAGGATAACACTCCATGCACCTAACAAAGTAGACTCATCTATAAAAGCTCATGCCATATTAAATCCTTTGCTTCCAGATGACCTGTTTATTAAGCATTAATAAACTCTATTTAATGAACATTCATCCCAATTTGTTTGTAGGAAGGCGAGATGACATTGCATCAAAACAAGTGCTATCCCAGTGGATTTTCCAATCTTTTTCCTTATTGCAAATAGTTCAGTCTTTGGGGGGAAAGTAGGGTTTGCCATGCAAATTCTCCCAATCAGCTATAACTGCACAACCTAAAATTGTGGGTATATGTTTTTCACCAAAAATAGCAGCTTTGAGACGCCATAAGACTTCCTTTTCTGCAAGACTTAAGAGGAATACTACTCTGGAAACCCTCAAGATTGTTATTTACAGTTATTTTTCAGTGCAGATCCAAAGGAAGCATCCCACTGCTGTCTTGTCTAATAAGCACGCAGAGAAATATGGCACTGCATCTTACTGTGTAGTGCTGAAGCTGCTCCAAAATGTTGGCATGGAGTATTTCCTCTAATGAGCTATTACATACAGGCCTGAGAACAGAAATCCATTAAGTGGATTTCCTCTGCTTTAGCTGTGCGGTACAGAAATGAATCAGCTTTCCAAGCCCTAATGTATGCCACATCCAAGGACTCCTTCCTTTTATTAGCATTATTTTCAATCTTCCCTAAGTGGACATAACAATTCAATCAAATATTTTTTAAAAAAAAAAACACAGCTGGTTGATTTGGCACAAGCTGTTGTTTTTCCAGCTATCCCTGCACTATCTCACTCTTGGATCGGGGGTTCCAGCTGATATTTTTTGTTCCCAAACATTTATTTGCTGGGTAAGATGTTTATCCCTGTTGGGCTCTTGTATTCTGGCCTTGAGCAGATGTACTGCTTCCCCATTGCTACATTATAAAGCCAAAGGGACAGGTTTTCCTGTGTACCAAAACAGGACAGCCTCAGGTACCAATCAGCTAGTGCTGTGCCTTGCACCCCTGGATGCATTAGTTGGGTTATGCTCTGGAAAACTTTGCAGCAGACCCACAACAACTCTTTCTGTCTCTCTCCACCAAACCTCCAGAGTATATGATGGAAACGGGAACAATAGATGCTGCAATCTACTCAAGGCACATCTAGGTCTCGTTTATATTTTATATGGTTTTACATTATTATACATGTGGCAAACCACTGTAAGGGGGCAGGATATTACATTTTGAATAGTGATTGAGACACTTATGAAACAAATAAAAGTAATGGCCACCACCTTGGATGGCATTAAGAGGATTAGAAAAACTCATGGTGTATAAGGCTATCAGTGGCTACTGGCAACAACAGCTATGTTCTCCAGGCTGGAGGCAGTATACCTCAGAATACCAGTTGCTGGGAATCGCAAGTGGGATATTATAATATCATTTATTGATGCATTTATGGTTGTTGAGTATGATTCTAGAAAGCTATGGCAATCTGAAGTAAGAAATTTTATTATATGGAACCAAACTGTCAAACAGAACAGCTGATCATCCTACAGCATCCGATTCTGAGGAGGAGCGGAAGGTGGACAATTTTAACAGATGCATGTTTGTAGTCAAAAAGGTATGTACTGTCTAAATAGAAATGAATCTGCTATGCACCCTACTCCACTGAAAACAGCAATCCCTGTTGCTTTACCTACTTGTAATAACGCACCCTTTAAAAAGCAAAATAAATTCTTGCTGTCATAGCTTGCACCTGAGAAGGAAGGTTTTATTTTGGCCTGGAGAGACCAAAAAGAGATTCCATTACAGGAAGCCAGGCAGACTGTTCCAACCAAGCTGTGTTGCAATATACAACAACAGCTATCTCCTTCCACTGTAAATCTCTGCCATTCCTTCCTTACATTTGTATTATCTAAAACAAGCAACAACAACAAAAAGTCTCAAGAAGTGTTCTTGCCAGTGAAGCATAGAGCTGGAGACCATGCAGGACAAAACATACTTTATTGTACTGCAACATCAAAAATACATGTAGAGTACATCAAGGACTGCCAATCACAAGTTGCCAGTTAAGTTACTAAAATAATCGGGAACTACTGAAATCAATAGTAAAGTTTACTCATCTGAGGCACAAGTACACTATTGTTTAAGTATCCTGATTTGACTTAGCTCCAGTACACAAATCTACATGTTGACCCTCTAAGTTGCATATTAGAGCTACTTATCAAGCTAAGAGGGGTGCCCAAACTACAGCTCAATGGCCAGAATGCCACATGTGGAGTGCAAGATACAACTCCTCATCCAGTCTGAAAGTTATATATGGGAGGCATGGCTCATGGAACAGTATTCCTAAAGGCACTTGCAAAGGCAACCCCTCGCCCCAGCCTGTGCAAGTGTGGTTAGGACTGAAGTAAGGACCACTGATCCTCCAGATATATGGATGCTTTATTTGCATTCCTTGCTCAGTGGCAGAACTTAACAGGTGCTATCCGATTGCTCAGGATCAATTACAGTAAGGCAAAAACCTTGTCTAGGAAGTAACTTGTACTGACAAGGAGAGTACAAAATTGTGATTAATATTTTTAAGATGCAGGTCTTGGACTTCCAAGAAATGTAGCTTGGCAGGCCATGCTGGCAGCAACATTTGGGCACCCCTGAGTAAAGAGTCTACAGAAAGGTTTTTCGGGTGAGCAAGATCCAGTATTGCAACACAAGTAACTGCTACAGGAAGCACCAGATAACCTGTGACTAAGTACAGCCAGATGAACTTCTGCTGGTGAAAGCAGTAAAGGTGCAGCACCACAATGGAAAGATGCAACTAAGAGTAAGAGCTTTGATATCAGAAGCAGCATTTGAAGACAAGTTGTTAGCCATTTAAACAGATTTAGATCAGATGCCTAGTTGTATGCACGGCTGTACATGCTGGCATGCCCTTCTTCCTTATAGTTAGGTTTCTAATGCAAAGCTATGGATTAAAAAGGAGGGAAATTCTCAGATTAGGAGTTGCAACTTTTCTATTTAAGGAAGTCAGCCAAGAAACAAACAAATAAACAAAAACAAAACAAAAAAGCTGCAGCAACTGTTCAAGTCCCACCCATCACTACCTACATAGTTCTGAAGCAACACAAGACTGGACAGCCATTTGTCTATATAATTGGGTAAGTTACATCAGGAAACTGAGAAGACAAGCAGTTTTGCCCTATTAAAAAAAAAAGTCAACACCAGCCTTATGGTGGAAGGGGTGCTTAGGTAAATGAGGAATGGAAAAAAAATTGGGTTACAAAAAAAAAAAAAGGTACAGACAAGCACAGGCTCTGTACTACCAATGAACCCCAACAAGAATATGAATCAACGGCCAGCACAAACTGGACTAAACACTGAACCTTTAGCACTCATCATAAATTCGGACCTCTTAAGCCAGCAGATCAGGTGAAAAGTCTGGCTAAAATCGAATTAAAACGAAGGACAAAAAATTGAAATAAATTAAAAGATTGCTACACTTAAAATTTTCCTTTTGATGTAACAGGTTTTGCAAGCTAAAATCCAACTGTATTCTCTCAAATGAAAGAAATATTCCAAATTGCTTTCAGAGGATTTGTAACTTCAAATGCTTACATATTTGAGACTTTAAGAGAAAAAGCAAAGTTACAGCATCCATTCAACATTCCCTATGAACTGAAAGGGATAAAAAAGGAGAAAGAAATAAAGGAAAGTTCCGTCTGAAATTCTCTCACAATCTTTCCCACTCTCTAGTTCATGAATCCAACGCTGATGCTAAGGTGACAGTGTATGTAAGTATATTTTTTGTTGTTGATTTTTCTCTTTTTAAAGTTTCAACAGAGAAAGCCTGGAGACAACTGAGATGTTCATTCATGAGTTATCAGATGGAACATGCTCCTCAAACCCCTCGCTCTCTCGGACTAGAGCTCTTTCCAAGATAACACGGCCCTCCTTATACCGCTGGCTGTCTTCAGTGGCAAATTCATAGATCCAGCCTAGCTTGCTGTTGCAGTTCTTGCAGCTCACATCACGAACCATGTGGCGTCCAGTGAGCATGACCCGATCCTGGACTTCACTGTACTGCAGATTTACTACCTGTAGCAGATAAAAGGGATAGAAAGAATTTGAGATGTAGTTAATCTACAGAGGAATTGCTTAGAGCCTTCATCTCTAACTGCAGGGACACATTAACAGTAATGACCTTCCTGGGGCACTCTGTGAAAGAAGCACTCTGGCTGCATCCAGACCAGTACACCTGCTGCCAAAGCTGACAGTGCCAGGTTTTAAAACTGCCCCAGCCTAATACAGCAAACCACTGATTTGGGGGAAATTTGAAAGGAGCTCTACAAAGAAAAAGGTAGACAACACTCAGTATATTATATTAATTAAATTAATACAGTTGCCTAGTGTTTTATAATGAACTATGGATTATAGGCCTCTGATAATCCCTCTCACCAGTTGGTTCCCTATAAATGTGACTTTGATTTTCAGACGATGATAAGAGTATTTCACAAGTTGGCTTTGCTTACTTTCTTGTTTCCAGTGCTTTGGCATTTATTACTTTCCCATTTCAAATCTGGAACTGAGGGCTGACTTTTTCCCATTTTGTTAACCACTTAGCATGCAGTCTACAACCTCAGCCACTGTTAACATCACATTGTTCTCCAGCGTGCAATTCTGTTTCACCATAACAGGCACTGCAGGAACAGGGTGTGGTGGCACTTAAGGAGTTGCAGGTCTCTTTAACTAACCTTGTTAAATAGGAAGGCTCGACCAGTAGCCCCTGTGAAGCGAGTAGATATGAGTTCTGAGCGGTTGGTCAAGATTGTGTCACAATTTGCACAGGAAAACAGGCGAGTACCACCAATATGATCCAAGAAAATCCGGCCCATTTTTAAAGAATGCTACAGCCCTAAAAGGAGAGAGAAAGAGCAAAGCTGAAAATGCCACCAATTTATGTCAACACCTTTGAAAAAAGCTGGGATGGAAAACATGTTAGAGATTTATGTTAGAGATTTCCAGTAAGAGTTGTTGAGTAAATATCCAGCAGTGCTACATTCAGAATACAGAATCTGTGTATTCTCCTCTCCACACATACACACACCCCTGAGAGAAAAGCAGTGGGGGGCAAAATCAATTTTGTGCAGCAGCCCCTTATCCCAGCTAATCCTCTGCTGAAACTTGCAGCAACCAAAATTGCTTTTCTTTGACAAGGAGTCAGAATATTGTCACATGTGACTGGCTATAACAGAGCAAGAAATGGGACAGAAGGGCTTCTCCATTATCTCTGTTGAGAAGCCTGCAACTTTTGGCTCCTCCTTGCCGTGAACAATTTCCATTCTAATTTATCATTTCAAGAACTCTAAGAACTAATGTCCATTTGCTTTTTCTTCTCCCCTTTCAATCCTTTTTCCTTCTTGCCTTTTAGATTGTAAGCCTGAGGACAGGGACTGTTCTACTACTGAACTTTGCAAGCTATTCTGGGAGCCTTTTTAACTGAAGAGCAGGGTAAAAATCCTTTAAATATCTAGTTTGGCCCATAGGTTCTGTGCCAAGTATAGCAAACAGAGATGCTGAAAGAAGACTATGGATGGGCCCAAGAAGAGTAGCTGGGGAAAGGGCTATGTCATAATGATATAGAACATGGCTGCATGCAAAGTCCCAGGTTTAATCCCTGGTATCAAGTTGTCAGGGACTAGTTGGATGCAGAGGAATGGTGGGAGGAACCAGCTGAATCTCCTCCTGTGTATGACTAACACTGGATATCATCCATTACTGGCTTAAAATGGAACACAATAAATTTATGTGAAAGCAAGCTTGTCTGACCATCATATTGGCTATAGCCAGGGATGGGGTGCCTATAAACTTATAACCATACATCCTAAATGCATATTATAAAACAACAAATACTACTAATGGCTCACAAGAATGATGCAAGCTGAACAACAAAAAGCCATCAAAACCCACCCAGTAGAAGTGATTAACCGGGGGGCGGGGCATAAAAGAAAAGAGAGAGTGCGCTAGAGAGAAGAGAAATCCAAACGCACTGTGACTTTCCTTTTGTTTTATATTGTCACTTCTGTTCTTGTGTGGGCTATATGTAGAATTTGGATAAACAACCTATTATTAAAATGAACAATTTGAGCACAAAGATCTGAGTATTCATGCTAGGGACTAAATTTAGAAAATCATAGCCTCAGGGCAACCAATCATTAAACTTTTCAACATTTTCTTCCTTTTATACAGATCCTTTTTTCCATGAATTGAAACGGGTTCAAGTACTTAAGTTATTCTTGAAACTGGTGCCACCACTCATTCTAACTGGGCATTCCTTTTTCTTTACTGCCCAGTTCCTACCACTACTTGAATAGGTTTAAACAAGAAGTTAGCATTGACTACATGTAATTATTGTGCTCAATTAAAAGGCTAGTTTACACCCTATCCCCCCATGCTGATATTTATATTCTAAATCTGGCACCACTTTCTAATGAGCTGGTGCAAATTTTAAAGGCACATAACTTTTTCAGATTAGGAAGCAAAGATCTAAATACATGAACATACTAGAAGGTAAATCTAGGTAAAGGAACCTTAGGTCACAATGCTGGGAAATACCTCTCTGCCCAAGATCCTGGGAAGCCACAGCCAGTTAGAGAAGACATTAGATGGCTAGACAATGCAGCAAGCCTAATTAAGGTATTTTCCCTTTCAAGAAGCCTAATGCATTGTCCCAGAACATTGGAGAATCCAAATCCAGCCATCTTACTAGTGACAAAGGCACTCCCCTGAATAGAACAATCAAGTGTTCAAAATTACCCAGGTGCATTTTGCACCTGCCTATCGAGCACTTACAACCAAGTGAAGATGCCTGGGTGCCAGGATGGTGCCTGACAATCTTCACCATCTGAAGGTACATGCCTGGGGATCATTGGATCTGGACTGTTTTCAGACACCAATACCCCAAAATGGCAACTAGACATTCCATTTTGGTGACTGTAACCTTAGTTTAAGGAGCTATTTGGCATCTTGCTAATATATCTGAGTTTCTAACACTGAGAACAATCTCATACTGTTACCCACCCTTCTATGGCTAGAGTACTGGTGTAATAAGTTACTCAACTATTGATTGGAAGTTTGAGAACATCCACTACAATAACCTGGATTCTGTTACTCTGCCTTTTCTACCCAATGTCACTAAAACTCCCCAAATGCAGATGTATATGAAGAAGATTCAAAATAATTTTTTAACATCATGTTCCTGCCATAAAGACTTCTGCTTTTCTGGTCCCATGGGAAAGACAAAGACAACAGCAATGCTTGAGACAGTATAATTTACTGAAGTGTCCAGGATACTGGCTGTACAGTATTCTACTTTCCTGCAAAATGGAAACCTAGAAGACCCAGGCGTCCTTGCAAGCAGCATGCATGTGCAGGTTTTACTTATGACTGAGATGCTTTCCTTCCCACATTCTTATAGACACCATTCAACAGCGCATTACAACTCTCATGCTTGTTTTAGATAAAGTCATCTGATTATTTTAAAAAAATAATTAAGCAAATAATGGATATTTTACACTCATATTTATTCAATTTACACAATATTCAAATTTCTAAAATGAGCTCTTCTACACTTAAATGCCACCAATATACATAACTGTTTGGAAACTTCTACATGTAAAGTGCACTGAATTCACTAGATGTCAATGGAAATGATGTACTACAACTATTTTCATAGGGTTTCGAGATGGCAACTTATATGTAAAAACACTAAGCACTCATTTTAAAATCTCACAAAATTGCTTCCCAGTTATTAACATTATCTGTCTTTGATGAGAAAATGAAACAGATAATCAGAGTTAACTCTAACAACAAAGAATTCAAAATTAAATATAGTCACAAGTTTCTAAACAGCCCCTTGCATGGTATACAGCTGACTCAACTAATATGGGGGTTATGTTCCAGGGATAGTGTATAAAGCCAAAATCATGTACAGTGGTACCTCGGTTCCCGAACAGCTTAGTTGACAAACAAATCGGCTCCCAAATGCCACAAATCCAGAAGTAAGTGTTACGGTTTGTGAATGTTTTTCAGAAGTTGAACATCCGTTTCGGCTGTTGGCATTGTTTCTGGGGCCAATCAGCCAATCAGAAGCCACGCCTTGCGCACCTACCCCTCTGGCTCTCCAGGCTTCAGCGAAAGCAACGCGTAGCCTTCAGAGCGCGGAGGGAGCCTGCATTCGCTCCATAGGACACACAAACATTTCTCCTTAATTTTTGGAGGGGAAAAAGTGTGTCCTATAGAGCAAAAAATACGGTAATTCGTTCTGGAGGTCTGTACTTAACCTGAAGCACCACTTTAGCTAATGGGGCCTCCTGCTGCCGCTGCGCCGCCGGACCACAATTTCTGCTCTTATCCTGAAGCAAAGTTCTTAACCTGAAGCACTATTTCTGGGTTAGCAGAGTCTGTAACCTGAAGCGTATGTAACCCGAGGTACCACTGTAAGTACAGTTGTTTGTGGAGTATCAGAGTCCAGATCCAGAATAAGATGAAAAATGTTTTTCTGTAAATAAAATACATTGGTTGTATGTGTCCTTTAAGTACCATTTCAAAAGACGCATGCTTGAGATAACTTGCAACTTATTTAAGCTATGGGAGCTCTAATGTAGGGTTTCCCCTACTTAGGAATTCTAAGAACTCTGGGAAATCCTTAACACGGAGCACTGACTTTCTATAATTTTGTTATCATTGAGGTTATTGTCTTACATGTAGGCTTCCCATGGTCCACAGGTTCCTGAGTTCAGAAAAAATAAATGCAATTCCTTTCCCATTTCCCTTACCTTTTTTCATCCATTATGGAATAATAAGTCTGCACAAGTCACTTCACATGAAGTCTCCCACCCAGACACTGATCACATCTAGAGGTGCAGCAAAGTGATTGCATCTTGTGCCTTCAGAGAATGCCCTGGCCACGTATGAGGGTACAAAACAGTGGTATACATGTTTCCTCTTCCTCTTGATATCATGGGAGAAGAGCTATTTGCAATGTGGTATTTCATACTGGTACTATATACTGGCATGGAGAAGTAAGAGACTGATAATAAAAATAGGTAGTATCTGATTCATATTTCACACCTTCCACTACCTCATGACAAACCTTCTCTGCCTCACATATATCTGTCTTATAGGATTGCTGTAAGGAGAATCAAAATAAAGTGCTTCAAACACTTTACTGTTACTTAGGTAACTTTATATGATGCTTTCAGTATGTTTGCAAAATGTACCTTGTTGCACAACAGTAAGCTGAACAACATGAGGTAAATTCTGTTTGAACCAGCCATTGATTTCAATGAGATGCTGAGTACTAAATGTTATCAACACTACATCCTAAATTATTTTTTTTAAGTTTGAGCTCAAGGTAATATATATAAAATAAAGTTCCTAAATATTCATAATTATATGGTGACCCTAAAGACATTTTAGAAGGTGATACATCACCAGGAAGGGGAGGTAGGAAGGATCTGAAAAAGAATTAAATCACTATTCAACAGTTAAATAAAAAAAATCCACCCTTTCTAAATAATGCAGATATCATTATGAGTCATATACAACCATACTTGGGGATAAAGAACTAAAACATTAGAAGGGAAGGAAAGCAGAGCCTGTTCCGCTCTGATAATGTTTTAATCACTTGGGCAGCTGCTCTGTTTGGTAGACAGTAAAGCGAGACGACAGCAGTAACAGCAGCAGCACCCCACTGCAGCAGGATCCACCTCTCTCAACAGCCACTGCAGAGCACCGCAAGAGGAGTGTGTTTCTGCCACCTCCCCCAGAAGACCCAGAACATACAGTCCTGCTCTTATTATCCAAAACAGTAATTACACACAAAGAAGGTGGTGGAGGAAGGGAGCGCGCCCTGATTCTGGTCACATGGCGTACGACATCCAATCAGCAAAGGTTCTGCCCATGTCTGGTTTGAGAATGAGACTTTCCCAGAAGCACAGGCGATTTGACAACAAATAAGAGGAAACAGCTGACAAAGGGAGACCTGTGGGCCCCAAGTCACTGGTACCACACCATCAGAAAAGCAAATCAACAGTCTCTCCCCCCCAAAAAAACTTCCTATCAACACTCTGCTCTGGGAAATACTGATGTCACTCATTTGTAAATTATGGGAAGAACGCTGAGGCTGCTTATAGGATTATAAATCAAGGAAGTGACCATACTAATCCAAAGCTAGAGCATTTGGAACAACGAAGTGACGGGGGCACTAATAATTCTGAGCAGGTGTCCTCCTGGAATTGAAAAGCAAGGTGCCAATATCTGTTTAAGGGAAAACGAGAGAAAAAGTTATTGTCCCTGGCCTGTTTTGGATCGTAGAATAATGCAGCCAGGGTAGGGGAAAGAAGCAAAGAAGGAAAAGACCGGAAGCAGAGCCTGACCTGTTTTCCAACATATGTAATTTACAGTTGTTAAGTGTTTGAGGCTATAGTAATTGATCTATTTGTGAACATCTCAAACAGACCCGGCCGCCCAGACACGAAAAAGCAGCTTTTCAAGGTGGTAAAGAAAGGGGGAAGAAGAAAACAAAGAAAGCAGACTTTTTAACACGACAAAGAACTTGCTAGTCATGCAACAGCTACAAGAAGACAGTAACAGCAGCGGAACAAGGCCCCCAGGACCCTTCACTGTTTTTGGTTGAGGTTAGGGATCCATTGGTGGCGAGGGGAAAAGAAAAAGAGAGAAAGAGCTTACAGTTTGTACGCGGCTGAGGCTGCACAAAGGGCGTTGTGTTGTCGACGTTGTTGTTGTTGTTGCGGCCGACGTTGCCTTTTGCGCTCTCGGGGAGGGACAGGGCTGGCGGAGGAGGAGGCTGGGCCGCCCAAGCTCCAGCAGGAGGGCTTGTTATTGCGCTCGAGGATGTGGAGGAGGATGAGGAGTTGGCGGCGGCGGGGGGGGGGGGGGTGCGGCCGCCGCGGGATGATGCAAAGGGACAAGGGGGGGGGAGAGGAGGGCGAGGACGTTATTGTGACAAGGCGAAGGAGGGGCCTGGTTTGAGGGGGGAGGGGAGGCTGTTATTGTTTATTCCTCAAGCGAAGTAAGGAGGGGGCAGGGGAGCGTTTTGCGCGTGGGTTAAGAAAACACGCAGGGAAAACACCACACCAACACGCACAAGGGTCTTCGCCGAAGCAGGGAGGGGGGGGTGAGACGGGAAGGAAGCAGCCAGGCAGCCCCCACCTCCTCAGCGACCCGCCTCCCCGACCAACCTCCTCTCTCCCCCCCCCCCCGGCGCGAGCAACAGCCGTTACCTGCGGGCGGACGCAGCGACTGACTGGCCACGCGACGGCCTCAACCAACTGACCGACTGTGGGGGGGGAGTGTCGCGTCTCCTTCCCCTGCCGCTGCTTAAACAGCGCCGGCCTCTCTCTCTCTCTTTCTCAACTCAGCTGGCTGGGTGAGACTCACTCTCCAGCCCTTCTCCTCCGCCCCCGCCCCTGGCTCCGCCTCTTCCCCGCTCGAAGCCACGCCCCACCCCAACGGCGCCTCGCCTCCGCCGCCATGCTGGCTCGGTGGCCACGCCCCTCCCGGCACGTGCCGCGCCTCCCCGCTCTCCTCGCCGGCGGCGCGCGGACGCCGATATGGGGCGGAGCGCAAAGCGGGAGAGAGGCGGGGCCTCCTTAAAGAGCCAGGCGCCGCGCAGCTTAATGCCTTTATTTGGTCTCTGTTGGCGACGCTTAGAGGCCGCCGGCGCTATAATGTGGCTTAGTTTGGGGTGGTGGTTTTTGCTTTTGCTGATCCCAGATACTGGTCGTTTATTTGCCTCAGAACCTTGACTTAAGTGTTACCTGATACCTGTAGCAGCGCTTGGCTCAGACTTAGCCCAGTGCGCAGTCTCCGCCCTGGAAATGAGTCTTTAAAGCTGATTTTATGGCTTGCAATCAGCACCAGCTTCGTTTTTGTATTTTTTCCCGCACCCCCAACCGCCAGCCTTGCACAGAGGTGGCTAGCCATCTCTGAAGGCCAAAATATGGCGAACCAATCCTGTGTACACTAGTGTAAAGTGATGCAAGGAGGTGCAAATATATATATCTTAATTTCACATATAAAGTCATGGGCAATGCCAGTGCTATTATTAGGCAGCTGCCCAGGGTGCAGACCTTAAAAGGAAGCAGTACTGACCTTTGGTGGGCACAGTTTTATACAGATTAGCTTTTGCTATACAGTGTCTTATAAATTCCTGATATTTTACTTTCATATTTTGAACGCAGTACAGTATCTCAAAGCTCAAACTTGTTTTTTAAAAATTACATACGTTCAGCAATGCTGCAAAAGAGACTAGTTGTCTTGGCAACGAGATCCATTGGACATGCCCAAGCATTAGCACTTTTAAGAGACTTGAATTTTAACATCGCATCTCAGGAGATCATTCAAAATGATTTGTGTGCTAAAGCATTTTATTTTGTATTTGAGAAGGATTGTTACTTATTCTTGTGATTTAAAATAAATGTAGCAGTTTCTGTCACGGCTAAAATGGCCGCTGTTTCTTTAATGCGAATAAAGCTGGGTCAGCAAGACTCAGCGGTCTGCACCAAGTTGTATATATAAGTGAGAAATGTTAGTTTGTTGCTGAGGCTGGTGTTTGGGTTGGTTGGTTGATTGGTGCTGGTGTGTATAGTTGTTCAGTCGTGTTTCGCACAAAGACTTTTAAGCATAAAACTCTGCAAGGATATTCTCGTGGACTCTTTTGTGCTGACAAGTGTCCGAGGACCGGGCTGAGGAGTCAAAGGGAGGTCAGAACCCTTTCCTTCTTCTTTATTTGCTTTTTACAAACACTGACAGGTTATGGGCCCAGTGTTTCTGAGCATGTGCAGAGTGCAAAACGACTGACAGCATCTGAGCAGGGAGCTGGTGAGTCCTGGTGGTGTATGAAACCAGTGGCTGTGCGTTGGAGCAGTTGGTGACAAGCTGTAACTCTGCAGTGACGCTGGAGCGGCTAGGATCTGAGGATCAGCAAAGCACTCAGTGTCGGCTACTGGAACAGTTTGAACTTCTAGAGGACCACAGCAGGCAACTCACAGAGCGGCTACACCAGTTGCAGGGCCAGGCGGGACCTGAGGGTCAACAGAGGCAGCAGCTAGAAGCCGGTGAGTGCCAGCCAGGACCATCCAGTCAGACTCTAAAGAGAGAGTCAGGAGAGATTGCTGGAGGCCCTACAGAAGGGGCTCAGCAAGCACCAGCAGAGATGGCAGATTTCCAGTCTTCCCAAGTTGTAAATATTGGGGGAGGCATCCCTTTTGAACTTCTCTCAGAGAGCAACTGGCTGAGTTGGTCAATTAAAATGCAACAGTTGTTAAGGAGAGATGGACTATGGGACTGTGTTGAAATTGAGGTTTTGAGACGGGACTCTGCTGAGAAAAAACAGCTGGATGAAAGGGCCCATGCCCAAATTATGCTCTGTTTGAGCAACTCTCAGTTATTGCATGTAGCAAATGCCAGCACAGCGTTTGAGTGCTGGAATTTATTAAGGGCAATGCATGTCAGAGAAACTGCTGGAACTATAATTTCTCTTACCAGAAGGCTGTTCAGGGCTGTTATGAAAGAAGGTGAGAGTTTGGCAACTCATCTTCAAACGCTGAAATCTCTGTTTCTTCAACTACAGCAGAGAGGTAAGCGTTATGATGAGACTGACCAAACATACATTATCCTTTCAAGTTTGCCTGAAAGCTGGTTGCCTGTGATTAACAGCATGGAGAGTATGCGTCCCCGAGATCTGACCCTTGAGTATGTGGTTGGAAGATTGACCGAAGAAGCAGAAAGAAGGTCAGATAGACAGGTTGAACTCCAAGAGCGGAGGAGTTACAGCCAAGGGGGCCAGCAGCAGAATCTGCCAATGGAGCAACGCCAAGGTTTGGACTTGGCCATGGCGGTGAGGAGGTGCTATAGATGCAACCAACCCGGGCATCTCCAACGTCAATGCAGGGCAAGACTTCCAGGAGACGACATGGAGCAGAGACAGCAATCGATGCAGAAATGTAAGCAGAAGGGGTTCTCTTCAGAGAAGAAGAACACGCGTTCTGCTCAGATTGTTTCTGCATTTTCTCGAGAGGAGAGGAAGATACCTCGAGGAACATGGTTGCTGGACTCTGGGAGCAGCAGGATTATCTGCAACAGTCGGGAGGACTTTAAGACCCTGGAGAAGCCAGCTGATGGAAAAGACTCAATCTATCTTGCTGATGGTCGTAGAAGCAAGATTGATGGCCAGGGAACATGTTTCCTGCAGTGCTTGAACGCTACTCTACCAGAGACTCTGTTTGTCAGCATTTTGGACTATTGTTTACTGTCTGTAAGCTGTTTGATTAAAGCAGGGTATAGTGTTAAGTTCACTCAGGATGGCTGTCTGATAAAGAATGGAACTCAGGTATGTGGCCACGCAAAGATGGAAAATGGGTTATATGTAATGCAGGACAAGCCTGTTAAAGCAGCCCAGGTGGTTCAGGATAATTTGCCAGTTCATAAGGGGTGTGTACATGAACTGCACAGAAAACTGGGTCACGCCAATTTCCGTGTGCTTTCAGAGATGCAAAAGGTGTGCAAGAACCTAAAAGTAAATAGGTGTAACTGTTTCCTAGATTGCAATGTATGTAAAATAGCCAAATCTAAGAGGAAGCCTGTGGCGTCTAAAAGTGACAGAGCATCTAAAGAGGTTTTAGAACTTGTCCATTGTGACGTGATAGGCCCTTTCCCACAGAAGACTGAAGGGGGCGCCAGATATGCTTTCCTGGTAATAGATGATAAATCACGTTTTAGTTGGTTGTTTTTGTTAAAGCAGAAATCTGAGTGTTTCCCCACATTCAGAGAATGGGTCGCCCAAGCTGAAAAGCTCTTCGCTCGTCCTGTTGTGCAGTTGCAAACAGATAGGGGCGGAGAATTTCTGAACAAACAATTTGGGGCATGGTTGTGACGTAAGGGGATCACTCACCGTTTGACTAACCCTTATAGCCCCGCTGAAAATGGTCTGTGTGAAAGACGTGGGGCTGTAATACAGTCAGTAAAGGACTGCCTGCTAGTGGATGCAGGATTGGGTCACAACCATAGGCTGTGGGGCGAGGCTTTTCTGACAGCGAACTTTTTGATTAATAGAACCTGGTCTAGCTCTATAAAAGATATTTCATATCATGTGTTGTTTGGGAAAGAACCAGAGTGGACAATGCTCCATAACTGGGGTGCTTGGGCACATGTAAATATCCCCAAAGCTCAGCGCCAGAAAGGGGGCGCTAGAGCACAGAAACTGCGGTTTGTGGGATATCAGTCCTATGGCAAAGGGTGGCGTTTCAATTTACACCCAGGACGCGTGATTCTGTTATGAAGCACAGACTTTGCTGACCAGGACAGATGGACTGCGATCCATGCCAACCCAGATTGCCTACTGCCCCTGCAAGTAAGAGAAGAGGCTTCTTCTCAGCCATTGGCAACACAGGAGCAGGATGAGGAGGAGGCACAGATTTCCCCAAAGGATGTGGCAATAGATAATACTTCTTCTCTAGAGGAAGAGGAAGAAGAGCCAGAGATAAGGGGGGAAGGAGAAGTAGTTGTGCCTAGACGCTCCCAGCGTTCAAACAAGGGTGTACCTCCTCAACGTTTGACCCTAGGAGGAGTGAGAGTATGGAATGTGAGTTGTGTGGAACCACAAAGTTATAATGAAGTCTTAGACTTACCCCCTGGGGAACGTGCTTTGTGGGAACAAGTCATGAAAGAAGAAATGGACTCTTTTAAACGCAACAAAGTGTTTGAGGTCATAATGCCACCACCTGGTGGCAGAGTGGTGTCATGCAAGTGGGTTTACAAAAGGAAAACTCTTGCATCTGGGGAACCACGTTTTCGAGCCAGATTAGTAGCCAGAGTGTTCACTCAGATTAAAGGGGAGAGTTATGATGAAGTGTTTTCTCCCACTGTAAAGAGTGAAACTTTTCGTTTAATGCTTTCCATTGCTGCTGTAAGACAACTAGCAGTGCACCATTTTGATGTTGATGCTGCATATCTGCATGCAAATTTAGACCATGAAGTGTTAATGAGACAACCCCCTGGTTTTGAAGAGGGGAATGGTGCAGTCTGGCATTTGAGAAAGGCTGTTTACGGTCTCAAACAAAGTGGAAGGTGTTGGAACTAGTGTTTAAATGAAGCCCTTGTAAAAATTGGTTTTAAAAGGAGTGTGGCTGATCCATGCCTGTACACCAAGGGGACAGGCAACAAATATCTAATGCTCTTAGTCTTTGTTGATGATTTGCTTGTGGCAGGGAGTTCCACAGATGAGATCCAGAAGCTCACAAGTCAACTGGAAAAGAGGTTTAAGCTTAAAGCCTTAGGGCCTGTAAGCAATTACTTGGGAGTAGAAGTAAGGCAGGAAGCAGATGGAAGCTTCCTATTGAGCCAGAAAGAGAAAATTCTTCATTTGATAGAGCAGTTTGGCATGGAAAACTGCAAGCCAGTTCAGACTCCCATGACACCAGATTTCCCAAAGACACTGTGTGATGATGAATTTGATCAGCCTGAGTTGTATCACTCAAAAATAGGATCACTGTTGTACTTAAGCCAGTGGTCAAGGCCAGACATTGCATGTGCTACAAATGTTCTGAGCCAACATGTATCTAAACCCAGTACTGCTGATTGGTGTGCTTTGAAAAGGCTTATCAGATATCTAAAGGAGACATTAAATGTATGTTTAAAGATATCTAGTACACAAGACGAAAAACTAGAAGTATTTGTTGATGCGGACTGGGGAAGCTGTGTAGCTACCAGAAAATCTACAAGTGGAATGGTCATGATGTTTGCCAATTCCATAATTGGATGGAGGTCAAAGAAACAAGGATTTGTTGCGACCTCATCCTGTGAGGCAGAATATCGGAGCCTATCGCTAGCATGCAATGAAATCATGTGGTTTATACAGATACTAAAAGATCTAGATTGTAAAGTAGATTTGCCTATCCAAGTGTATGAAGATAGCCAATCGTGCATTGCACTAGTGGGCTCAGAAATAATGAAATCTGCATCAAAACATATTGCTATCCGTCATGTGAATGTGAGAGATTGTGTACAGAATGGGGTGATCAAACTGGAGTATTGTCAATCACAAGATAATATTGCTGATTTGTTTACCAAGCCTTTGCCAGCAACATGCCATAATGAATTGATGACAAAACTGGGTTTATGTATATAATGCATGTATGTATTGTTTCTGTTGGGGTTTTTCGCATTTAATAAACAGAAGGGGTGTCACGGCTAAAATGGCCGCTGTTTCTTTAATGCGAATAAAGCTGGGTCAGCATGACTCAGCGGTCTGCACCAAGTTGTATATATAAGACTCTTTTGTGCCGACAAGTGTCCGAGGACCGGGCTGAGGAGACAAAGGGAGGTCAGAACCCTTTCCTTCTTTTTTTTTGCTTTTTACAAACACTGACAGTTTCAACTTTTGTGCTTTTCAAGTTTTATACAAGACATCTGTTTTCAAAAGCTGAAGTTAGCAATTTTTACCTTGGCTTCTTTCTGTCTTCCTGCTGCCCGTTGCTAGGTGCTCTGCAGCTCCCTCTGGTGTCACATTTTAATAATGCATTAAGAATTCCTGAGTTGTGGGTGCAGGGGCACCCATAATTTCTGGAATTTGTAGAATAATTATTTAAACTTTGGTTAAAACTGTGCCAAACACTGCGGGGTTAAGTTTAGGATAATCCTTTATTGGTGAACCTGCATACCCATCCAGGGGAATTTTTACCTCTTAAATTTCCAGGCGGCTTTGGCTCGGTGGCGAGTGGGTGATCACACCCAAAAAGCTATTGTGCAAAAAAAGCCAAAGTTAGCCCACCTTGACATAGCTGACAGGGGACAAGCCATTAAGAAACAAAGGCCAGTCATTAACCCATCAGAAGAAACCACCAACAAGGTGGAAGATTGGATTACTACAGTGGTACCTCGGGTTAAGAACTTAATTCGTTCTGGAGGTCCGTTCTTAACCTGAAACTCTTCTTAACCTGAAGTACCATTTTAGCTAATGGGGCCTCCCGCTGCTGCCGCGCCGCAGGAGCACAATTACTGTTCTCATCCTGAAGCAAAGTTCTTAACCCGAAGTACTATTTCTGGGTTAGCGGAGTATGTAACCTGAAGCGTCTGTAACCCGAGGTACCACTGTACTCCTATCATCCCTTCCCATTGGCCATTCAGGCTGGGTCTGCTGCTAATTATATTCAAAAAACATCTGCAGAGCTCCATGTTGGCCACCGCTGGTTTATGCTGTTTAAAAATCTGTTGGATACCACCATAATCTTTGGTCCTTGAAGTGTATTATTGATTGTTTTGTATGGATGTTTCACTGTTTTGTCTCTGTAACTGATTTTTCAAAGTGGTGGAAGTATATTTTGATGCGCCAGGGTCGTTTATTTTGAACTTATTAAGCTTTGTTACAAATGCTGTATATTTTGATGCTTGCGTTTCTTTTGCCACCTTGGGTCAACTCAGCCCAGAAAGGCAGCTTATAAATATTTAAATAAATGCATGTGAATAAACAGATTCACTTTTTAAATGTTATTTTATGTTCTTGCCTACATTGGAAACTCACTTAGCAAAAACTTTCCTGGATGTCCCTTTGTTATCTCGATCATCTGGAACATTGCTATAAACCTTGAGAGGTTGTCCTATTAACTTCCTGTGACTGCCAGAGAATGTAAGTGGCTGAAGCTACCTTGTAATTAACTGATATGGATGAACCCATGTTATTGTGCCTCCAGTTATACATAGATATGAGCTTTATTGTTCCTAGAGTGGGAGACAGATGAAGGCAAGAGCTATGTATACTGATCAGCAAAATCAGGTACAAAAGCCTGAGGTAACTCTGCCCTACCCTTGGACAGTTTCCACACATATTGATGAAAAGTAGGCTTGTTTTTTTAAGGAAGGGGCTGATGTGGCACAAAGAGTACTGAGAGCACTCTCACAATGGGAGGAGATAATTAGGTTCTTATTCATAAGCAATACTCTTCCATTCCTGTCAACAGGACTCTAAGGCTACTCCCAGAACTGCCCTGAAAAAGCTAATTAATCTTCCTGCGTCTTCCTTTTCCAGAAATAGTCCAATGCTGCTTATCGCAGAGGTTGAAAAAAAATGCTGTGAGGTAGGACTAAATATCTTACTATGGCCTTGTTCACGGTATAGCTCAGACTGCAAACACTCTTTGGTGATGAAAACACTGACCAAACAAAGTCTAACTTTTTTTCTGGCAGGGCTCCTCTGCTTTTAACCATTTAGGTTTCCAATATCAGCTTGAAGTTGCTCTATAGTGACTGTTCTTTCTGTTAAGTTGTGGGTGAACATATCAGACAACACAGCGATTCTTCAAACATCTCTTGTTTATTCACAGGCCAGAACAGAACTGAAGGGTTCATTCAGCCAGCCTGCTTATATAGAGCTCCACTACAACGCAACAGTAACCACTTTCTGTAACTATCCAATCACTGACTGAACATCACTTTCAATCCCTTATTTGCATATGTAGACCTGAGTGAAAACTATCTACGGTATCCTCCTGCTGGCCCAGGGTGAGAATTTCAGTACATAACACTTTCATTCTTGTAAACTCCCAACAGCTTAAAATGCCGCTCATTCTTTCAGGACGATGTTGTTCATTTAGGAGCATTGTTTTGAATTGATGGATGGTGAGTAATAGATAATAAAGAGGTGAGATGCAATGTCAGGGATTTTTTCCATGTAGAGAAGGTATTTTTGATAAAGAGGTTTTGAATGTCAGCTAAGTTTATTTATTTTTTATTCTTTAAGCAAGGGTTGTACCCATATGCATTTCCCTTTTAACAAATTACTTCTATATTGATCCATGTTTAGATGTCTTTGTAAGGATGCTGATAATAATGCAGAGCTGAAAGAATGCATAGTATATAAGACCAAGCTTAGGAGCCCCTATGCCCCTCCAGCTGGTTCAACATACAGATGTTCCAATGGGAGCCTAGGCTTTTTACCTTGAAATACATAGTCATTTAGAATGTTCTGCTATTGCTTCAGTTGCACCAACCAGAGCACGATGTAGAGAACATGGCATAGGTAGAGATATTTTTGTATGACCTTCATCTGGACTGCAGCAAGCCACCCAAGGAGTTGTAAGTTCCTGTTTTTCCATTGTTTAATCAGTTTCTTTGTTCACTGTATCAGCGAGGGAGGAATTTAGGTCATATGATTTGCTCAACTTTCATGGTATATTTAGTCCCAAGCATTGAAAGGACCGGGGATGAATTCAACTACTCAATAATTTCTGAAGATGTAATTGATCTCTTGGTTTGATACTGAAAACATAATATTGGAGTTTTCAAAGTTAATTTTTAAGCCAACCATTTTCTCATCTGTCTTTAAATGTGATGTAGCTCACAACGGTCACTCAGCCTAATGGCAATGTTGTCTGTATAGAGCCTTATATGATTATGTTCTTAACCCTCAATCTGTTGGCCTTGGACATGCATTATACCATGCAATGAAATTGCCAGTGGTTCCAGAGTGGGGTGAGGGGGGGTCGCCTGTTTAGTCTCCCTGACCAGCTTTATGGATTGAGAATCATATGAACGAGTGCTGAGTGCAGCATAGAAGAAGAGTTTGGATTTGATATCCTGCTTTATCACTACCCGAAGGAGTCTCAAAGCGGCTAACATTCTCCTTTCCCTTCCTCTCTCACAACAAACACTCTGTGAGGTGAGTGGGGCTGAGAGACTTCAGAGAAGTGTGACTGGCCCAAGGTCACCCAGCAGCTGCATGTGGAGGAGCGGAGACACAAACCCTGTTCCCCAAATTAGGAGTCTATCGCTCTTAACCACTACACCACACTGACATAGTTCTCTTGATATGATTTAGTAGTGATGGTTTGTATGAACTTTTCTCCCATTTGGTATTTTCACGAAACTTCAGGGATAAAATCCCTTTCTGGCGTGGGGGGGAGGCCTTGTAGGCACCTAGAGAGTAGGGTGAATGCTTTTGGTGTATGTACACAATCACAAAAATAGGGTCACCTACATAGGCATAGCCAAGGGGAGGCAGGGGCCAGCTGCTCCCCCTAAAATCAAGTAAATGAATAAAAATATCTAACTAACTGCCCTCCAATAACATAAAGGCTCCCCCCAAAAAACATAAATCCTGGCTACGCCCATGGTCTCCTATGTGATATAGTCTCAAAAGCAGCAGAGACGATAGATGGTGCTTCACTTTCAGGCCTTTGGGCACGCTCTAGGCTGCCATTTTTTGGGGGGGAAATACAGTCTACACTGTCCTTCATTTGCAGGCCGGTGAGTAAAGGAAAGAATTAAGCCAGGTTGTTTTTATTGTTCACTGGGTTTATATCTGGCGCATGCATCACAGATCCTCCAGTTCAGGCACTTTTTAGAGGTGTGGGATGGGCAGAGATCAATAAAGTTGGGAGGCGGATGACTCTGGCATTAAGCTGCGGCTGCTTCTCCCACATGTATGTGCCCTCCCTACTTCTTGTTCTTTGATGCACTCTGAGGGAAGCATGAAGAAGATTTAAAACAGGGGTCAGCAACCTTTTTCAGAGGTGGGCCGGTCCACCATCCCTCAGACCATGTGGTGGGCCGGACTATTTTTTTTTGGGGGGGATGAACGAATTCCTAGGCCCCACAAATAACCCAGAGATGCATTTTAAATAAAAGGACACGTTCTATTCATGTAAAAACATGCTGATTCCCGGACAGTGCACGGGCCCGATTTAGAAGGCAATTGGGCCGCATCCGGCCTGCAGGCCTTAGGTTGCCTACCCCTGATTTACAGTGGTGCCTCGCAAGACGAAATTAATCCGTTCCGCGAGAGTCTTCGTCTAGCGGTTTTTTCGTCTTGCGAAGCAACCCTATTAGCGGCTTAACGGATTAGCGCTATTAGCGGTTTAGCGGCTATTAAAGGCTTAAAGGCTTAGGGATTAGCTGCTAAAAGGCTATTAAAGGCTATTAAAGGCTTAGCAGATTAGATAAAGGGGGGGGAGCGAAAAAAAAATCTCTAGACTCGCAAGACATTTTCGTCTTGCGAAGCAAGCCCATAGGGAAATTCGTCCTGCGAAGCGCATTGAAAACGGAAAACCCTTTCGTCTAGCGGGTTTTCCGTCTTGCGAGGCATTCGTCTTGCGGGGCACCACTGTGTATTCAGTGGAATACACTCAATCCAGTGGTGGTATCTGCTAACAAAGAGATGAGGAGATTATTTTTTGCCAATCCCTCTCCTCCTAAAACTCCCCACATCACTTCCCAGCCTATTCTGGCAGGTCCTCCAACACTCTAGAACTGATTTTCAGACCTGTGCTTTGGTTAGTGCAGGTTTATGATAAACCTGTGTTCCTTCAGATGTCATTGGACAGCAAGTCTTATGATCCCTGCCTACTGGCCATGTCTACAGAAGGGCAAAAGTTCCACATGAGTGCAAGGGCACCAACTGGATTCCACCCATAGGGGGCAGGTTATTCCAGTGAACTTCTCCCTCTGTCCCTCTCCCCCCCCCTTTTCCCTGCCTTCATAATTAAGCCAGCTCAAGACATTTTGCTGTCTGAGATGGAGCAAGTTAATTTGGCAATGGAGGCATAGAATCCCACAAGCACCTCCCAAGCTGTAGTAATAATAGAAATAGTAGTAGTAATAGCTACTAACAATTTGTTGCCTGTTTATGACACTCCAGATCTACTGCCTGAGGTAGCAGCCTCACTCTGCCTAACAGGTGGGCCGGTCCATCCACTATCCCTCAGCCGGGGCTTCTGTGCCTTTGAACGGGTGCACATGAAACAGATATTTAACAGGCAAAACTTTCAAAAAGCTCCAGTCATAACTGTTCATTGGGCATAAAGCCATTATTCTAAGAAAGTTGTAAGAGAAAGGAACAGCAATTCAGCCCCAAATATGACAAATGCTTCCTCTCAGATGAACTGCTGCTGTTGATAGTACATCTTATTCATGCACCACGAAATCTGTTGATATGATACACATGCTGAAGACATGACTAGTAACGTCTTAATCACTACTACAGTATCTGCCAACTCACATTTTGCATTTTGATATGCGAGGCTGTCCCCACAGTCAGTTCAGTACATACCATCACCGTAGCAAGGTTGCCAGGTTATGTGCAGATGAGATGTTGGTCAAAGACAACTAATTAAAGGCAGGAAACAATCATTGCAACAGGAAGGATCTGGATAAAAAATATGTTTTGTCCACGAGATGCCCTTTCAGTGGAACAAAAATAATGTGGAAGTATAGCTTCAAAATTATGCACGACCTTGGCGTTATCAGCACCAGACTCTAACCAACTGAGCTATCCAGGCTTGATGTTGTAGGGCTACAACTCTCATCATCCCTGACTATTGGCTGTGCCAGCTGGGGCTGATGGGACTTCAACACATCTGGAGGGTCTTTCATTGCCCCCCCTGATGTACATGGTGCTTTGCAGAGTAACATGACTCCTCTCTCACCCACTCCAAAAAAGCTGGGCTTCTGCCTTGAGGAGTTGGCAAGC